AGAACACTGACAGAAACGCTGACGACCATGGACCTCTCTGTTCTTCAGCCCTTCTTGCCTGGACAGCCGAAAAATTTTGCAAACTTTCTAGACAAAGCCCTCGGCATTCAGTGAAAGTTTAATTTTACAGCGCTGGTTTTTTCCTGTTGCACTAAAATGTGAAGATTTTCAGAATATCATGTCGTTGCAGAACTTTGGAGTCTTTTCTATTTCTGTAATAATACATGTGATATATGTCTAATAATATTTGTCTAATTTCAAATTCCTGTTTGTTGTGAGTTATTTGTTTTAAAATGGGATGAACATAGGCTGCATTGGTTTGAAAACTGTTGACCTCGATAATCCACAGGCTTCAGGTTTTCTCAGTGATTTTTATCCTCATCAGAGTTCAAGGTAAGTGACTGCTGTTGGATTCTTTTTTAATTGTTATGTCTCTTGTTATATTCTGATTTTTTTTTTTTTATTTCAAGCCCTCCTCCAGACAGCTGGATTGTAAATCTAGAGATGGAAAATTTATGCTTAATGTCAACCTCTAATTTTAGACAAAACAACTTGTGGCATCTGTTTGAGGATGATACCAGCTTTCATTATAGCTGTCACTATACAAGCATGTTGCTCTTCAAAAGTTTATCTCTATCTCATTGTCAACTAGTAGAGAGCGAGTATAAAATGTCCCTCTCTGTAGCTTATTTGCTTTATTTTATCCATTTATACTGGTTTGTATGTGACCATGTGTATGATTTATTTATGGTCCGCTATGTATTTGTGTGTGACATAGAGTGGTGTCTCGACGGCTCGCTTCTCAAGAGGACCGACGTCTCGACTCACACCAAACCTGCTCAGCCTGTAAGTCTGTCATTTTGCATTTCTCTAATTCTATTGTTTCTTTCTAAGTCTATGCTGCAGGCTGTTCTTTTCCTCTTGACCAAAGGCTGTAGCTGAGCACATGCTGGAGGAACCCAAAATGTAAATTTATGTAAATAGAGGTCATTCTGTATATTTCATCAAAGGTGTCTATTATGAAGTAAAATCTGAATAATCCAACCGACACTGTACGTGGCTTTCTGATTATAGATTTACATAATTTCCGTCTACTCTCTACTTATTTAAAAGGCAGACAAAAAGCCAGTTTGGTGTAAACGGTCCTGATTTGCAGAGACACTAAAGGAATTTGCTGCATCACCATGAGTTAAGTTGTACCAATTCTTGCCACAAGGGTGAGATGATGTTTAAATCCATGACCTTGTAGGTTTCTTATCATTTGTCCTTCCAGCACATAGTGGAGTATGCACCCAGTGCTCCACTTACCATGTGTTACCAGCTCCCATCGTTCAGACCTGAAGTTTAATCTGGTAACATTTCACTTTAAGATCCTCTTTTCGTCATTTCTAGTGTTTATTAACGTACAGTATATGTCAACAATTATAACTTCTCTTATGAAGACATACTTTGTCTTATTACACGTGTGTTTTACTGTATTGCTATTCATTATCTGTTTATACACCAGCATCCGGCCACAGGAGGAGTTGTAGTTGTTGACAAATATATTAATACTTAGCCTATATGTACACCATCGTGTGTTATACACCAGTTATTAAATGTTTTATACAGTGATTACAAATGCTCGATAATTAATACAACGTTGCCTAAAATCCCTCTGTATGTTCCATGACCTTTTTTTTTCAACAAAGTCTACCTCACTCTGTTCGTGTGTCCCTGCACAGCAGCCAAAGAGAATATGTATCTTAGCTCGGGGAAGAGGTGCCACCATCTGCTTCAGTGATCAGCGTATGAGAGGAGTCATAAATCATCGAAGGTGCAGCGAAGATTTGTATACTGTGTTTATTGGACCAACCTAGGAACAGAAACTCTGTTAGGGGTTTTTTGTTTTTTTATTTTGAAGATAGGTTATTTTCAGTCTTGTTCAGCTGGTGTGGAGTGACCACTCTTCTTTTTATTTGTAAAAAAATCCTTGCAACACTGCTATAAGTGCTGATGTTGGTCAAACTCTGTTGATTCGTCATTTCTTGGAGTTACAGTTTCTTCACTAGGAGAGTTTTGTTAAACAGGAAATGTTGGAAATGAAAGGCAGCACGTAGTCTGGTTCATCCTCCGATCAGTGTTTAGTCATGACACCAAACATTTTTTCTCCTCTGCTACAAAGTCTGGAGAGGCAGAAAGATTCAGCAGAACTTTAATTGATTTACCAATCAGCTGTTTTTAGTGGAAAAAAAAGGAATAAAAACCTGATTTCACCACCATTTTGTTAGGATACTGTTGTGAGTTTCTTAACTTGCCTCGAGTATAGGTGGGCTTTCAGACAGCAGTCATTTTGATAAGGATATGTCAAATCTCACATCGCTCATACATGAGGAATAAATGTGAAAACTGCCAGACTTCCTTTTTAGGAAAGTCCCTCCTGTTTGTTTCAAGAAGAATTTCTTTGGAATCGCAAGAGTAGATGGGATAGGAAGCTCACTGGTACAGGTGACTTTCTTCAGTTCCTTCCTTTAGTCAAATGTGTTACAGCTTAAGAGCATAAAACATCTCCTTCCGAAGAGTGTGATAAATGAGGCGTAATAGCTTTCGTTTCTGATCTGTGGTAACATCAGTCAGCTGTTGTACGACCTCAGCTTGATTAAGGAAGTGGTTGCCTTTAACAAACAACAGAAAAGAAAGTACAGGCTCACATAACAACATATAGTGATTTTTATTAAAGACAAGGCACTCAAGAATACATTACTGGAATGCCTTTATGCTATAATGCTGCTTCTGAATGTTGTATATATTATAATTTGTTTGATATCACAACAGTCAGACTTAAACAACTGAACAGGTTCCAGCTAAATTCACAGTGGACACAAAATAACATTATGTAGTTTGGTTAACTTATTAGCGGTTTCCCAGACAAGTAACCCTGGTCCTATACTTTTTCTTTAAAATTCAATGTCTCCATTAAATAGTGTAATTATTTTAGGCAAAGCCACAACCTCGTGGGGCTTCCTTTAATTTAATTCAGCAGTAGTTATTTGGTTTGGACTGGTTCTGCCTGCCACTCCAGTGTGATTCACATGATGTTTGTCCAAACTGCATGTTAATCTAATAGAAATGGACACTCTTGTCTAGTTTGACTTGTTTCCCCCTCCCCCCACACTGAAGCATCTCTTCCAGCTTTATTTTCATTTTAAACTTGTGTTGTTTGATACACCGAGTTTCCTGCAATAATAATATAGTCGGGTGCCTTAATGTAGCATAAATTCATTTGCTTTCATGCAGTCTTTAAAACTGCTGTATTATATCTTATCAGTCCTCGGCCCCACTGCAGCTACAAACAGTCTCATCACTCACACAAAATCTGGTTTAATATAGAGAATATGATTGCCTTGCACATCAATTCACAGCTGATATTTAACTTTAAGTCAGGTTAGTGTATCAACACATTAAACTGTGTCAGGGTGGCACATTATCTGAAGTGTAAACTGGTCCATTAAAATGAATTTAAGAAGGCTTTTTAAAGAACCCACTGACAGTAATTTACATATTTAATTAACCTATTTCCTTGTGTTTTGCTCATTTCTGTGCATGTTTTGATTTTTGTTTTCACAAAACTGAAGTTTCCAAAGAACAGAGCAAACTTTATTTGGTCCGTGGTCGCTCTTCACAGGAACATAATGCAGTATTGAGCAGTTAATAACAAACTGTATATAGCTGATCATCTTATCCTAGGGGTTATTAAGAAAGTACAAAAACACAGAAAGGACTCTTGTGTGTAACTAATTGAAATAAAAGTCTCGACTCCTGCACTCAGACAGAGAAAACAACCTGATTTGAACCACTGCAACACCAAGATTTCTGATAAAGAACAAACTCCCCATTCATTAAGACAGGAATGGACTGAATAAGTCCATACAAGAAGTGACAAAGCAGAGGGTTAGTCAAACCAGCCTGAATGCAGTGGTCAGTTGTGGATATCACGTGGGAAGAGGCACTGTTTTCAATGCTTGTTGTGTGTTTGGATCAACAAACAAGCATGAATGACGCATCTTCTCTTTGCCTTTAGGACATTTAAATGATTTGATGTGTGACAGATTTGATTGTCTCTCCTGTTAAGTCTTGCACAACATGGATGGATGTATTTCAAAAAAGATAAGACACCTTTTTTTAATGTTATCGCTGAGATTTATTGATGGTTTTATTCCTGTTAACTACCTCTTAGGGCTTTGAAAAGTCAGATATCAATCCACCCTTCATTTGTTTTACTGCTTTAGCCTCAATAGTTTAATCCAGATTGATGCTGTAATCTTACTGGTTTGAGATCAGGGTTCTGAGCAGGGTTCTGATGCAAATCAACCCCATATTGCAATTCAATGACCACAGAAACACAAAAGATGATAAAGACACAAAAGATCCACAAAGATGAAAAATTACCATATTTTCAGAGAGGCAGGGGCCTTTTACCTGTCTGTACTCAGGGAGCCCATTTTCCCATGATTTGCTCATATCTATGATGGAATAAAATTACCTTGCCTGATGTTCTCTGTGTTAATGACTTGACACAAAGAATTAAAGCAGTTTGATAAAGCATTTCAACGACCACGATAGAAACTAAATCAATTAACGTCTTAAAACTAGATTTTGACACAGGGTCCCTCTTCAAAACTGGGTCCACAAGATGGAGGATGTGGGACCTGGTATAGTTGATATTGTACTGAAGTGGTGCAAATTTGCGATTTATCAAATTATTTAGACAGAAATAGAGTAAATCTGGTGCTTTTGGGGCCTTGTTTCCATGAACTTGTATGAAGTCGGTAGTCTGACTGTGTGAGTCCTGCTCTGTCTGCCTGTTTTGCCTCTGCGCTGTTGTTTGCAGATGTTCATTAGCATTTGGATATAACCCTCAGTCAGACAGCTCCGCCTCCCGTGCTTTGATTGGGCACACTGTTACCGGAGCTGTCAGCTCTGCTCCGGGAAGCTTTTCTCTCATCGCAGTCCATTCTTCAGCTAAGGACTGACGGACTGACTTCGGCCAGCGGCAGGCTATTTGCCTTTGTTAGCTAGCTTGGAAAGCAGCAAGAAAAGACAGAGCCGCCTCCATGCAATAGCACACTTTTTGGAAAATGATCATCTGTGCGAATAAAATGGAGTACCCCCTGAGAACCCAGTGCCAGCGAGTCCAGAAACAGGTAGGTTAAAGCTGACACTAGACGAAGCTGAAACACAGTTTTAACGCATTTAAAGCTAGCGGCTAACTGAATAGCCTGAGTAACGTTCATTCATTTGTCGAAGCGATTATATTATATCAAAGAAAAAAGCTATTCTCCCCACAAGCTGTTTGCTTTGCTGCTGTTTTAGTTTTAATTGAAATCTTTGGGGAGCGAAGGGACGACGTGTTAGATAAAAGTTAAGGTTAATAGTTTTTTCAGTCTATAAACTTTTCATCATAGTATCAGTCAGTAACGTTACAGCGACTGGAGTAAGCTAGCAAACAACCAAACTTCCCATCTAGCTAACTCAGCTAACGGTTTATCGAGCAAACGTACTGGTATTAAAACGGTATGAAAGAAAACACACAAAAGATGATTTTCGTGATTCAGTTCAAGATTAGGAGCTGCCACATTTCCTCACCATCAGGAAACATTTTGTTGTTTCCATTCCCAGCCGTTAAAATGTCACGTAAAGCTCGCAACCACTTCGTCAGTCTTTAAACCGCTAGTGTTTCTAAGCTACATTAACGTCAGTGCAACTAAATATGAACAGTTTCACTAAAATCAGCTGTGTGTTCTTGAGATTAACATCACAGCGACTGCTCTAACAGTGTAACATAGACTCTGCTTTTGTTCTTCCACCAGCGTTGATTTTAAGTGCTTCCTTGTAATATGCGGATATATTTAAGTTTTCAACCGATTTCTTCTTGCCAAATTCTATCATTATAATGCAGCGAGGTTCTGAAGTCGTTGCTGTATGAGGAGACGGCTGTAGGTGAGGATGACATCATCTGAGGATTTGGGAGAGATGTGTCTCAAGTAATGCAGTGTCACTTATTTACTTATAAATAAGATATAAGGTCTGGTCGAAAAGACACATCAGTCTATATGCTTTAATCCACGAGGACTGACGGGGATTTTTCCGTTTTTCCTGGTTGCGGTCCGGCTAAAGGTTGGCGACTTTTATTGTGCTGTTTTTGCTGGCTGAACTGGACTGCCAATCAAAGTTGTTTTTCTCCTCTGTCGCTGTTTTTTCATTTTGCAACAGATAGGGGGCGCTGTCTCAGGTCCAGTCCAAAAAGGCATGTTTGCTGCAGATTAGAGTCCAGAAATGGAGCAAAACAGGGAGGAATGCGAGCAGCAAGGGATTCAAAACCCTCTGCTGTGGTTTCAACTCCAGATTTGTGTTACTTTTCACCACCAGCTCTCACTGTTTGCAGTTCATCATTCTCATTTAGCTTGCATTTACTCTATTCTTGTGTTTTTGTCTACATAATTATCTGTAACTGGTGACAAACATTCAGTATGTGTATTGAAGCAAATGTTGTTGCAGAGGCAAATAATGCAACTTACACGCAAAGCTGTCTTTTAAAATAAACAGCACATATTTGGCAGGCATTTAAGCACCACAAAATGTGAGGACCTGACTGATATTTTTGTTTATGAACAAGATAAGTAATGAATTACCCTGTTATCAGTCAAAGTCTTTTGTGACTGCGTCTCTTTCTCGCTCTACCTGCCTGCCATGTTTTCTGACAGGTCCAATCACTCATCAACTGTATGTGGGTTTGGCTGTTGGGCTGTTTTGTTTGTCTTGGTTGTGTTGCATGTGCTGCCCCCCCACCCCCCACCCCCACCCCCTTCTCTCCCAAACCTCTTTGGGCTGCAGCTGGTTTTGTTTTGTGCTACTCCCTAAGTTCAGGTTGCAGAGCAAAATCGGCCCCGGCTGCTTGTGTTTTCTGGTGTTTGGGGTGAGTGGGGGGGGTGCAGGGGGGGGGGGTAATGCCGTCAGGACGCCGGTGCATGATAAGGAATGGACCCCTTCCAGGCTCAGTCGGAATGCAGATTGAATGTCCTTCTCCTGTATCTGCAGCAGCCCCCCTCCTGCAGCCCACCAATACTACCAAACACACACACACACACACACACACACACACTACATGCGCACATGCACGTCTCATCTCAAGCTGACACATTTACCCTTGGAAGACTGGTGGCATCATTTTTCCACTTCTTTGTCTGTCATCGTCCTGCGCTCTCCTTCGTATTCCTGCTTGTACAGTGCTGCTGTTTTGTTTGTCAGCCTGCTATCAAAGCCCGTCTTTGTCTCCATTTACCTTTCCTCCCCTCGCTGACGTCACCCCTGTTTTTCATTTCATCCCTGCCTCTTGGTCCTCTGTGATCAATAAACAAATGACCTCTCCTGTGTTGGGAAAGGAGATTTTTTTTTCTTTTTCTTTTTTTTTTTGAATGTCAAATGATCTGCACCTGTGAATTTTTGCTCACAACAGACTCTCTGTGAGCTGTTGTTATTTATCTTTTGCAGCCAGGCCACAAGTTTGAATTCATCTTGTGATTTGAATACAGCAGCTCTAATATCAACATTGCAGTCTCGCGATTGTCACCTCAGGCTTGTTTTTCTCTAGAAAAAATGGCTCTCTTTCAAAATCAGTTGCTGCTGGGTGTACTGTAAGCAGAATTAATAGGTTTTTGTGCACAAAGCCTCAATGTGCTTGTGCTTTATGAGACTGTGTGCATCTATGTAAAACCAAAATATGCTTTGTAATACCATACACCGTTGCCTAAATGATGATGTGTTCCTTTTTCCTCTATATCTCCACCCACACATGCTTGTTACCAGCTTTTTTTCTTTTCATGCGGGTGTTTTTTTCATGTGGGTGGATAGTAAGGAGTATATCGCCTTATCAAAAATACTCCTGTGTGCAGCTTTTGTGGCTTGTTTTCAGGCAACAGAGATGAAGCAGTGTGGATGAGTGTCTGGACAGATTTGACAAAGGACGTCTGCCTAAACCTTCTTCCCCTAGTGTATATTAATCACAAGTATTGATCAGTTCTGATGAAAATGAAGTAATGTGGGATGGATCACTTTTGTGGTAAATCACTGAGGTAAAAATTGCCTCTCTAATTGAGTCTGGCAACCATGAAAAAGGGAAAATGTGTCATTTCAGCTGAGCCTAACCTTTAAAAAGAGCTCAGAAAATCTAGAGGAACTCCTGGGAAATTTGAAAAAAAAAATAAAATACAAAAAGCATTGTTATAAACACATTGTTTGTCATCTTAAATAGGAAGTTGAGTTGAGTTTTAATTTTGCTTTCATGTTTAAGTGTCAGCAGACTCTGCAAAAAAGGGTAGGATGTGTCATTTCCTGCTGCACGACCATGCACGTCAGCTGTTGTTCCTGTTTCAGTTTGACTTTTGCTGTCGTATTTGTCCAGACATGTTTGTGGGATTACACAAAATACCAATTTCCTCTTTGATTGTGTGAGGCCAGTAATGGCAAACCCCATCTGTTAAATCTGCGTAAGAGTAAGTGTTGTCACTTATATTACTGTCTTTGTCAAAGCTGTGGACTTTACAGTGGCTGAAGATTCAATAAATGACAGAACCAGTCAGTTTAATGACTGGCCTGTTGAGATTTGTTGTGTTTTGTGTTTTTCTGTTTGTCTTTTCTTCTCTGCTGGTATTATATGTATTTTTCTCTTGATGAAAACTGCAGTGTGTTTATCACCTGACTGTGAAGCCTGGTGTGGGCACTGCAGTCTCAGACAGTGTCCTGTGTGGGCACAAGGTTCCCTGTACGATACACAAGACTGTCATTTCAGCTTTTACTGCTCTAACAACAGCAGTAACCTATTAATGAATTCATTGTCATACAGAAATCGGGTTTTCCCTTATTCTTTGTACGAGGAGCCACGGCACAGACATACTGGAGCTGGCTGTGCCTTGCTTAGGGGACACTTCAGCAGGGTGAAAGCCAGTGTTGTATCCAGGTTCGTTACATCACCTGGTCATCCCTGATGTCCGACTTTGATAAGGTTTTGTCCTAGCCCCAGTGGGATATTTGTTGTCTGACTTTTCATCTCACATATATCCAGCTTAAAATGTTTTCCATACATCTCTAAGAAGTGTGGTGTAGGTATGAAACCTAAAAGCCAAATACATTTATTGTTTTGGATTCACATTGTATGTTTGGCTGTGATTCTATTAGGACTGCAACTGAGGATTATTTTCATTATTGGTTATTCTGCTGATTATTTTATTGATTAATTGAGTAATTGTTTGGCCTAAAAAGTCTCTCTCTCTCTTACTGAACCACCACAACATATCTTTATATTAATTTATAAACACTATTGTTGCCAGTACTTACAGTAGTTTGTCCCATTGAGCACATTTTTCTATTATAAAATGTAATGCACAGTTCATATATCTTGGCCACAGTTCTTTAACAACCAAATGTAAGTGATCCTTAACAAAAGTGCTCATGTCAAAAAGAATCATATTTGCTCATTATATTGTCATCAAAATTAAAAAAAAATATCTGATAATCTGTATCTGCCATTAAAAATCCTGTATCGGCTAAACTGAAGAGAGAGCAGTTTTTGAACAGTTTCACATGGCTCGTTTGTAATCAGATGAAAGTATAATCACTTAATGTTACAATCCTAGCTTATTCTACAGTGATAGATGGGGAAAAATAGGTTAAGTGGTCTTTAAAGCTCTTAATAAGTCGCACTCAAAACATGTTTTCTGTATGGTGTAGGCTTCTGAAATGCTGGCTATTTAAACAGCCTTATTCCTTGTTTGATGGAGCAGTAACCTAGATTCTGCAGTGCAGCATACTAATCAGTAGCTCTTGTGTTTGGAGAGAGATACTTCTGTGAACATGCTCTTGTCAATAGGTCTTTGATTGGCAGGCACCTGTGTGCTCTACATTCCTCCTTCACCATTTCCCATGTATGTTGACAGGTGAGAATGGGTCAGGGTCTGTGTCCGAGTTTCATTTGGTGCAAACTCTCGTCCACTCATTGCCTTTTTTTTATCCTCCTGTTCCTTTCAGAGCCTTTTCTCTGTTGCTTTATATAAACTATAAGGAAATAAGGGAAATATAAACATTCGAATGAGACTCGAGATTTGTTTAATGTGTAGAATATTAACATGTCTTTTAACATCCAAGCTTGGATGTTATATAGGTCAAGAGGTGGGGCTTGTTGCAGGATCAGGAGGAAAGTCTCATTCACTGCAGGGAGAAGAGAAATATCACATGGAGCTACTAGCCAGATAAACATGGTGCTGAATGCTACTGAGCTGTACTGGCCTAAAATTAAGTAACAAGGCCCACTTGACGCTATTTGCTGCGACTACCTGTGACATAAGCTGAGGTGTCTGTGATTTGACAGGCCAGTAATAATCCTAGACAGCAGACTGTGCTGTTAAAAGGAGAAGTCTTTGCCAACATTCATACAGTTCAAACTGCAGTGAACCATTTGGCTTTGATCGGCGCCGTGCTCTCAGGTTTCACATACAGGGGAACTGAGTCCTCACCCGTGGCCGAGCTCCCAAACACCTTTTCCTAGAGGCTATTGTATGACGGCAAGAGAGGTAATAAATGGCTGTACCTATGAGGGTAGGCCAGCTTCCCTCTCCACATGGGTCTGTTGCTCTTGGCCTCGGGCTCAGCCTAGTCACTCCTATGTTTGTGTGTTTGGTCTCATCCGCTTCTTTGCTGCTGCTCAGCTTCCCTCTTTAAGGCCTCCTAAGCCCAACATTCACATTAGTTCCTTCATCTGTGGTTCCTCCCAGCATGTAAATCCCCTTTTCAAAGGACAACTTTGGGTGTTTTCTTGCCTCTGGTTTCAGCTGTGTATCAGGCTTTTTTTTGTTTTTGTTTACTTTCATTTCACCTAAGTGAATACCTAGTAATGCATGGTGCTTCATCTACATTTGAAATAACGTAGAGGAGTTGTATGAAGCATCAGACCCTGCTGCAGCCAACATGAGTTGGTGTCTGTGTGTCTGTCGAGCTCCCAGCTGAGCACCGTTGTTTGCTTGTTTTATTTGGAGTAAGAATAATGTAAGGAATGCACTCACTTGCCAGTGGCGCCGGTATCACAGCATCACGACTGCTACTCTTCCAAGACTGCCTCTCCTCGGCTGATTTAAGGTGTGGAACATGAGTCCAGTCCAAAGCACAGCCTGAGCCTGTCATCACATAGAGTGGACACTGAAGTCCAACCTTATCTTGAGACAGACTGCTTTGGCTACCAAATGAGTTTCAGTAATTCCCCAAAGGACGGTCTATATTACTGGTTTCTTCTTTGACTAATCTGCTGATTACTTTCGCATTTAACTGATGAATTGTTTTGTCTATGAACAGACAGAAAAATCTAACTGCTTGTTTTGTCCAAAAACACAAAGATACTCATTACAGTCATTACAGTGACGTAACAGAGAAAAGCAGAAAATCTTCATATTCTATTAGCTGGAACCAGCATTTTGTTGACTTAATTTTTTAATTACTGAAACAAATCATAGAGTATAGCGCTGCAACTACCTGTTTTTTTTTTGTTTTTTTTGATTAGTCAAAATTTTACAAAATGCTGGACATTGATGACTTATTTTGTGAAACCAACAGTCAAAAAACAAAAGCTACTCAGTTTACCGTCATGTATGACGAAGAAAAGCATCAACTCTTCATCTGAAAAGCTAAAACCAGAAAATGTTTGTCCGTTTAGATTAAAGAATGACCCAAATGATATTCGATTACCAAAATAGTTGCTGATTTAATTCTGTCGCTTGACTAATCAGTTAATTGACTTTTCAGAACATGAACTTCACGAAAACAACTTCCTCAGCTTGTACTGCAGTAACAAACAACCCATCAGAAAACAACCTTCTTTGCCCTCTGTGTCCTGGTTTCTGTAGGTGATGGTGAACGGTGAGAAGGAGCGAGTGTCGCTGCTATTCATGAAGGCTCTGGTCAGCAGGGGGAGCGTGGACGCTGTGTCTCAGCAGATGGCCTCTCATCCTCAGTACTTGGAGAGCTTCCTGCGCACGCAGCACTACATCCTGCACATGGACGGTCCTTTGCCGCTGCCATACCGCCATTACATCGCCATCATGGTCAGTGACCTGGCTGCTGTTGTTAATGCGTACCCAGGATCTCATCAGTTGTCATCCTAGAGTACATGAAGCTAAACAAACACATAATAGTTTGGGAAGCTCTTGCACAGTCTGTTATGGCAGCAAGAATCACCAGGGATCATACTAGTATTATTCAAAATGAAAGAACAACAAGATGCAATGTTTGAGTTGGTCATTTTTCCAAATCTGTCTGTTCAACTTTCTCTTCCCATGACCTCCAGGCTGCAGCACGACATCACTGCAACTACCTGGTGTACCTGCACTCAGCTCAGTTTCTGAGGGTGGGTGGGGACCCTCTGTGGTTGCAGGGTTTGGAGGCGGCGCCCCCTCGCCTTCGCCTCCTTGACCACATCAACAAGGTGCTGGCTCACCAACCCTGGCTCACAGCCTGCTCACACATCCAGGTACAGCAAAGCAAAACACAGACAAACCCCACAAAACAAAATGTTCATTAACTGTAACAGGACAGTATGAGATGAAAACCTATTATAGATTACGGAGATACTGATTTTTTTATCATCATTATTGTTATAATTCTTTAGACCACTCAGGATGTGGATAAACAAGTAAAAAAAAAAAAAAAAAAACCATAAAATTAGAGGTGGTTAAATTTGTAAAATGTAATTTTTCTGTGGTGTTTTTGTTTTTATTTTCACTGTGAAAATGATCATTATTTCTTGAAGTGTTTGATTGATCTGACCTGTGTGACCCTGAGCTCTCGTCTCTGTTCCCTCCAGACGCTGCTGAAGTCGGGCGAACAGTGCTGGTCGCTGGCTGAGCTGGTGCAAGCTGTGGTGATCCTGGCCCACTGCCACGCCCTCTGCAGCTTTGTGTTTGGATGCGACACTGACTCAGACTTTGTCCCTCTCTCCAAATCTCCTAACGGTACCCCACCAACCTTCTGCCCCTTTGATGCTGCCAACGGCAACACCAACGTGCCTCAGTCTCTCGCCACTCCCTCGGAACACATAACACGACGACGGGTAACAAATCAGGCCTCTTTTTTATTATCATAAGCATCATAGAGGATTGCAGAGCGAAATACAATCTGTTTTGCAAACAAATTCCTCTTGTCTTGCCTTTTGAACATTTGCACTGCCAAGAAACCTTCAAACTGCATTTGCTTTGGTTTCTTTAATGCGGTGTCTATACAGTAACTTTCTTATGTGGAAAATATGCTGTGGAAATAGACATGAAGGTTTATGTTTAATGTAACACTATTTCAATATAGTTTTTTCCTTGCTCCATTTGATATAAGCTGACGAGACATTCATAAAGAATTCATTAGGCTTTTATAATTAGAAGGCTTATACAGAAGGGCTGTAGCTAATGTTCAGTATTATGTATTATTGCTTAATTGCAGAATTATTTTTGCAATTAATTGACAACTATTCTTTTAGTTTATAAAATGTCTGAAATGGTGAAAATAGTCCAATTCTTTAAATATCATGTTTTGGCTTGTGGAAATGAACACATTGTAGAGGCTGAAGCCCGTGGACGTTTGGCATTTTTGTATAATACATGATTTTAATGACAACAATAATAATACAATATATACAGCAGAATTTTAGCAGTTAGGCATGTCTTTGCTTGAGAATATGATATTTACTAAGATGCATTTGTAATCGCAGAAAAGACTGAAATAAATTATAATTCATACTGTAGTGTGAAATAGAGGATTAATTTAGACCACGAATTTGCTATCTATCTGCATTAAATCTGAACAAACTTATCTTCACTTTGATTTTAAAGAGCTCATCTGTGTGAATATGAGATAATACCTGAAGTTAATACATGTATGATTAGATTATTTCCTTCCACATTAGTAATTGCTGCTGTCTGTTCCTTGTAAGATACATGAATGTTCGTTTAACTTCATCAGTCTGATATTTGTGTCAACAGTCTCTGGACTCCAGCTGTGATGTGGTTTGTCTAAAAGAGAGGATTCAGAAGTCCCAGGAGGAGCGTGAGAAGAGAGAAGAGCGCCTTCTGCAGACCCAGACACTCCAACAAACAGGTAACCTACTTGGCAGACGAACACAGAAACACACACACAAACACTGCTTAGATTTTCCCACTCACTTCTGATGGGTATCTTGAGCATAACATTTCATTCACATGGTGTGAAACTTGACAAATTACCACTGATCAGTTGCACTTATTGACGCACTCTCTCTACCTCCTTTGCTTTCATTGTCTCTTTTTTTAGATATGGAAGAAGAGGAGGAGATGATATGCTTCGCAGATCTGTCACGTTTTATCACAGACCCTGACTTTTGCTATGAGGAGTTTGCTCGTAGGGAGGAAGACCACTTCCAAGTATTTAGAGTTCAGGTACGACATGGAGTTTGTGCATGTATCATCAGACAGGTGGCGATGTCCCTTTTGTGCGATGGTCACAGAATATTTGTTCCTGATTTTCCGGCAGGTGTCTGTGAAAGTCATGGTCTTGATGTGTTTGTTAGACTGCAGCCTGTCACATGAGCAACCAAACAAATGCTTTACAACATGCTTTATGATTTTAACTACAGCAAACTCACATGTATGATATAACCCTCTATCACGTGCCAACGCTTATCAGATCTGGTAGTCGTGTGAGCTGATGCAGTCTGGAAGTGAGCCATTCAGTCAGACACAGTTTGAGTGGACTTCCAAGTGGTCAGCGACCAAATTAAGATGTAAATTAGTCGTCTGAAGTCAGGCAGCCCCAGGCATAGCAGGTTTATCAATATTGACTTTGACATTTTAATACATTTGTTTGGCTCCCAAACTCAAATGAGTTCCTCAAGAGAACATTACAAATAATTACAGGGGCCAGCGTTTGTTTATTCCCACATAAATTTGCAATTTTTATGTGTTTTTTTTCAGTAGTGCACATGGCTGGTTGATTAAATTAGGTTTAACATGTTTCACTGTTCCTCTGCCAACATGCCAGTTCTCTGTCAGCCAGTTGTTAGTGCCATTGAAGTGATTGCATGCTGTAGTAAAATAGAATTATAGTTATTTTTTGACACATTACTTCTTCCGACCCATTTTACCTCTAAAAACTATTCAAATAAGAAAAGCAAAAACTATATAATTCTTTTGTTGAAGAAGTCTAAAACAGCAGACATGTCGTTGTATTGACTCTGCAGGACTATTCCTGGGAGGACCACGGCTTCTCCTTAGTCAACAGATTGTATTCAGACATCGGGCACCTCTTGGACGACCGATTCAGGAGCGTGACCACCCTCCCCTCGTTGCACAGCCCCGACCTGAAGAGGGCAATCTGGAATTACATCCATTGTGTGTTAAGAATACGGTGAGACTGCAACTTTTATTTATTTTATTTGTGTGCTAACAATAAAACACACACCCTTTCTTACTCATACAAAAGCCCTACTTTTCATTTTAAGTTTTAGTAAATAAATATGTTTTGAACAAATATGTTTACAGCTATGATGATTATGATTACGGTGAAGTGAACCAGCTGCTGGAGCGAGATTTGAAGCTGTACATCAAGGCTGTGGCTTGTTTTCCGGATGCCACCAAAACCCCAGTGTGTCCGCTGAGTTGGGCTGTACTTAAAACTTCAGAAAGGGTAAGAAGGGTTTTTAACTGACCTCTTTTCATAGGAAAAATATGATGTTTCAGGCAAACAAGAGATATAACATGTTAGATAAATATAACATGTTAACCCTAGTCAACCCTCAGGACCCATTTCTCATTTTCTCTCCCTCAGATACATGTGAATTTACTAATCATGGAGGCCCGGCTGCAGGCGGAGCTGCTATATGCTCTGAGAGCCATCACTCAGTACATGATTGCCTAAGTGCTTGGAAAGGCACAAAGTCAAAACTCTTCGCCGGTACAGAGAGACCCAGAGACACGAGGATAAAGAAGCAGTGAAGTGGGACGAGAGCGGCACGTTTAAGGACACAGAGCTCCATTGTTTTGTGGCTGTGCCTCATGAATGTGCTTCTCTTTTTCTCAGAGTTAATGTATTTATACCATAGTGTGCCACAGTCCCCTCCTCACCCCTTTCTGCAGATTCTCTTATTGTGAAGTCCTCTTATCAAACATCTCGGCTCTCAAAAGGTTGTGTGCAATTATTACTAGCGTTGTTTTAATTTTTACCTGTTGTCATGTGTTCCAGCTCAGTCTGTGAGAAACTGCTTGGTTGTAGCAGAGTGTTACAGTGGCCAATGCTCTCCTTTTTAGTTCAATCAGTCTCCTTTTGTATTAACTATGCTTTCCCAAAAAATATCTTTTTGTACAAGTTGAATGAATGTCAATGGGAGACCAGGGCCTTTGTTTTTTGTTTTTTGGACAATCCTAGTCAGTGTTGGAGGAGGACATTAAGTGGACTGTGAAGGACGACCGCTTTGCTCTCCCTGACATTTCGTATTAATGCTGGTCAAGAACAAACACAACGGTGACACTGCTGGAAGTTATCACATCACTATAGTTTCTTTTAATAAGCACTTTTTAAAACTTTATATATTTATAATGCAAGGTAGCTCATTAGTAGACATTGAGACACACAGAGTGTGGGTCTGACGCCTTTCTTGTCACTGTATGATGTGTAACGAACATTTTTAGACTGTTTGTCCTCAAACTTTCAGACTTTGCTTTTGTGCTCAACCCCAGATGAACCCCTGAGTGAAGTTTCTTCTTAATCCAAGATATTTCAGTGAATTATTGGAAGGATTTTGATGTTTGCAAACCACAGAATTTACACCTGATAAGAAAATTTGTAACTAAACTAAACTAAACTGAAGTGGTCAGTGAGCTGTTTCCTACAGTGAAGATAAAGCTGAGCCATTTGCAGAATGATTGTTTTGTTTTTTTGTACTGACGTACTTCAGAAATGAATCAAATCAGAGACTGAATTTCAGACCAAAGGTCATTTAAAAACAAAAAAACTAGTAAAGTGATGAATTGGACAGATGAAAAGTGCACAGACGTAGATGTGCACTGGTCAAAAGCTGAGGTTAAGTTCGGGTTTTTGCTCAAAGCTTTATGCTAAAGCTTTTTTTTGTGTGAGCTGTATCAAGGCTGATTATCAAGTCAAAATCCATGGTACAGTTTGCAGAGCAGAACAATGTGCAAACTAGTCGTTAAATCACTTGTATCTTTTTTCTGTCTTTTTTATTTTATTTTTACGGTTTTTGTAAACTATAGAGTTCTTTTTTGTTTGTTTCTGGGTGTGACAGTAGGACCTGCTTATTGTGCTGCAGCCTGGGTAGATGTAGAGGTGTGACGGACTGTTTAGAGATTAGATTTAGATTTAGAAAAGAAACAAGTGCATATCGACAAAAGCAAAAGCGCTGTTAACACAGGTGCCTTCAGGCTAAAACTGGAGTGCTGCTGAAGTGGAGGGATGTGACTTCTGGAGGTTGAATGTGGGCTTTGGTTGCAACTGAGAAACACCTCCACCTGACGAGTGGAAAACTTGTGGTTTTTCCTGCATGAACGGGAACTGTTTTTCCTCATGTTGGTCAGCACGCTTTCTGATAAATATTACGGTTGTGAATGCCCGTGTTTTCTATCAGGCACCTTCTACAAGCCCCAGCAACTCAGTCAGAGCCTTTGACACAGATGGATGTTAAAAATGTTCAACTTTAGCAGATTAAAAAATGGACAAGTATCTAAAAATAAAATGACCAAAAAAAGAGAACAAGTGAAAAGACAAAAAAAAATGTTTTTTTGAAAATGTGAAGAAATGTTTTCTATAAAGATGCTCTATGAAAATAACTGCTGCCTACTGTCTTTTCTTTTTTCTACAGGATACCTTAAAGAACCATACCAACATTTTTTTTTCATGTTTTTGTTCATGTAAAAATCATATAAACCTTTTATATTATGGCTCAAGCAATCCCTTAATTGTTAGACTGAGTTTGTAGCCTATAGGCAGCGATTTACAATTACAGCACATTTGGAAAGTGTTCACTCAAAAAAATTTTTTTTTTACCTCATTAATCTACCCTCAATATCCCATAATAACATAGTGCAAACAGAATTTTAGATTATTTTGCAAATTTATTAAAAAGAAAAACCTAAAATGTCACCTTGACATAAATATTCAGACACTTTGCTATGACACTTGAATTTTAGCTCAGCTTCCTCCCATTTCTCTTGATCATCTGTGAGATGTTTCTACACCTTGATTGGAGTCCACCTGTGGTAAATTCAGTTGATTGGACATGACACACACACCTGTCTGTATGAGGTCTGAAAGCTGACAATGGGTATCAGAGCAAAAACCAACCGTGAGGAGGAAGGAACTGCCTGCAGAGCACAGACAAAAGGTATTAAGGATGTTCACATTTTTTCAGGTCAGCTTGAAGCCAGTATTCATATACCAATATGTACATGGAGATTCATGAATTGTTCCACACTGGCTGTGGGGAGAACCCTTCTAATTTAACTACAGCAGTCTGGGTTTCTTTCAAAGTCACAAAACTCAAAATGTCTTTTATGTTTGCTCAGCTTTTCTTTGTCGAGCTGCAAAAACACAGTAACTTTGGAAGGTTCCCATTTGATCTGAAATTAAACTGCTGAGGCCTTTTCACAGGTTTGGTAAAACTTTGAAATATATTTTTGCACAGACAGGATTTTGTCCTCTATCGCTGACACCGAAATTGCATTAGGAAAAGATCTCCTCGCAGTTACTGTAGAGGAGGAACAATCATAGCAACCAAAGACTGTATACACGAGCATGAGTATTGTCTCAAGACAGATTGAAAAGAATGTGAACCTGTCCTTAAAAACTTAAAACACTGATTGTCAGTATGTAACATATATAGGATTTGTTGTAAATAAGCCAAAACTGGCAAAAAAAATGTATATAATCAGTAGAGTTCATACGGCACATGTAGTAGGAGGGAAACTTGAAATATTTAAAGTGTACTTCAATTTTATATTTTCACAACTTCAGTCTATTAAGTAACATTTCTCAGGCTTTCATCCACATCTCAGTCTTACTCTGCAGATGGAGTTTGAACCAACCTAAAACACAGAAAATAAGCTAGTAAGTGGACCTCGAGTTCCAAAGCCAAGAATGAACTTGAATGCTCCAGTTTAATTTCTAACATGTTTTAATAACATACAGTACAAAGTACATTAATGTGCGACTGTATATATGTAGTTAGTGTATTTGTGTTTGGTTGAATACTTAGCAGCAGTATTCCTGGACAGCAGCACCCCCCAGTGGCAGACCTGCAGAACTAAATACAGTCTGACATTTAAAAAAAAAAACAAAAAAAAAAAAAAACTCAGAACTCAAGTCTGAAGCATCAACACTCTTAACTCTGCATCAACAGCTCAGACAAAGTGGGTTAAACAGTTTATTGAATTTATTTCTGCTGTTCAGAACTGTTTGTCATCTCTGGCTGACTTTACAATGTGTAAAGAAAAAGACTGAAGGGGGGAGAAGAATAAGAAAAACTATCGACATTAATCAAAAATCATAAACACAATTGGCTTATGCACAATTTATCATTCCCGTCCACCCCACCCTCCCCATGGAAAAAAAACCCCCAAAATAACCCTCGCTGAATACTAAAATACTGTATCAAATGGGGCAATTTTAAATTTCAAAGCAAACATAGAGGGACTAACAGCTACTTAACGAAAACTGAAGAAAAAATATGTAGATAGTTGTAATTACATAGAGGGGGAGATATAAGGGAAGTAATAACACCACACCTGCCCTTTTTAAGGCGGCAAAAGTAAACTAGAGACATCAAAGCCTGGTGCAGCCGATTCTCACCAACCAACCACCTTTACATGCTGCAGCCTGTACTATCAACTGTTAATAACTTTTCCAACACCTTACCATTAGTGAAGAACAGGGGCTTTGTTGCACATACAACTTCCTAAGATAATTACATGTTATGATTCAAAATGATAAGAAAATCATGCAGTTTTAACAAGGTGGTCCTTTGTTTCCAGATCTTTTCAAGTGACCAGGTTGGGGGGATTATCATGTATATAAATACATAAAAAAGAGGGGAAAGGACAGTTGATTGTGTGCTAACTTCTGCCATAACAACAAATCAAAATCCTTGTGCTGAATACAGAAAATTCAAAGATTCAAGGGCCCTGATATGCACCCGTTGCATCATGGCGTACTCCAGGATACGTCTCAAATGACATCTAGCACCATTAATAAAAAAAATAAAATAAAAAAAAATATTTGTGGAAAAAAAAAAGAGTGCTTTATATAAATCAAAAGCTAACATATCCACATATCTACAGTGAAATGATGAATATTACGAGTTTAAATTGCTGGGATGTTATTTCTGATCACAAAAAAGTTGACGATTATGAACGAAATAATTACATACAACACAAAACACAGAATTTTAAGGGGGGAAGATGACAAAATAAGTCCATCCTGCTACAGAGTAACATCATGCTATAGTGTTTTAAATATTGGCAGTCAAAAAAAAAAACAAAACAAACAAAGGATAGGCTAGCACTGATAAACATGGCTGGAGAGCTAAAATACTTTCTCTAGAAAGGGAAGTCAAATTTGAGATCAACTCTTTTCATGACAGAAATGACTCCAGGAAAACAAAGCAAAGATGCGGCGTGTTGGTTTCCAGTCTGTCGAAACAGAGAAAAATGTGTAATATAAACATTTTTTGCTATTGCCACGTTTTGTGATTACGCCTGTGCAGAGTTGTTTTCCTGTTGTTTTTCTTCCAAGTGACCCTGAGAGGTTAACGGTTGCATTAGTCTCGTTTTGAGATGAGAAAGTGGCAAGACGGAGGTTTTTCTTTTCCTCGTGCCACGTTTCAGCGCAGATTTTTTTTTTTTTTTTTTTTTTTTTTTTTTTTACTTGGATTCACAATTAATGCAGAAAATGATGAGGCAGATCATTGGGAATTTTTAGTTAAAATGGTCAAGTATTGATGCACTTTGCCTCGTTCAAAGTCAGATTTCATGTTACAGGCGTCTTTTGCAAAGCGTATGTACACTGAGATACTGTGTCAGGCTCAAGCGCTCCCTAAATGCCATGCGAATGCAAATATTAGTGTTCCTTTGGTTATGTAAAAAATCTACATGCATCTCATCCTTTACAAAAATAAACGTATAGAAAATTACCGTTAAAAATTATCTGAAAATGCTTCCTCCAATGTAAAAAAAACATCACTTGTCATTAGTAATATATTCATATGTATTAATATCTCATTTATTACCTCCATCTAAATTGTATATTAAAACTATAATCAAATATATTCTTTTTTGTACTTCTCACACTGTGAATTAATTTCTTGAATGTTAGTACTGAATAATTAAAGTGTGAGAGGATATTCTGACATTAAGCACCCCCCCCCACCCCGACAAAATATCAGGAAAATGTTAAATAGCAAAACCCTTCAAGAAGTGATTTTTTAAAATTTCCTTCAAGATTTCATTTTGTTCTCCTGATAAATCTGCATAGTGTGTCATCATGTACATGTGCAACGTGTACATTACATGTTTTTTTTTTTTTGTTTTGTTTTTTTTACAGGATTTAAACTCTTTTATAATGAAATGGCATAACCCTAATGTGGATGTATTCTCTTAGTTTGGGGTCCCTGTGTCGCAGGAAACCTAAGTGCTTTGAAAATGCACAGGCTCGAGAGAGAAGAAGAAAATAAAAAAGAAGGAAGGAAAAAAAAAAAAAACTCAGGTAGACCAACTGACAGTGGAGGCATATTGCTGTCGAAGACAATATAATACTTGGCCAACCAATCACTTGTTGGCAAATAAATTTACCCTTGAATGCCCCGTGTATGTCACAAATCACATTTCTTCATTTTGTTAGTTTAACTGCACATCAGGGATTTAAAAAAAACAAAAAAAAAAAAAAAAAACACCATCTAACTGACATCTACCATAACACACTGGATTGAAGTCAAAAATGCCAAACTGCAAATACATACCCTCTTAACTGAATCACCAAATATAACTGAAAAAAAGCATCATCTTTTAAGGTTTTTTCTCTTAAGTGAGAAATTTTATCGTACACATAATCATAGTCCAAGTACACAATTGGGCAAGATGTGTAGCCGATGTTCAATCTAACATTTTATACCTCCAATCGTCCAGTCTTTATCTTTTACCTCTTCACAACACACTCGCAGCCCTCAAGGTTTTTACCGACTTCTACGATGAAACTTTCCCTCTTGAGGCGAGGTGCTGGTGCAGCAGAGTGCTACACCTCGTTCACACGATCACACAGCATTTGGTCTGGCAGTTCCTGCTAGGCAAGTGACGATGGAAAAACTGGCCATTTCTCCAAAAAAGTCTTCATTACCAAAGCCATCGAGATCAGGGGTACCGTATCGACCCTAAAGCTATTCTGGTGAAACATAACTGTGATATAAACTCCCAGCAGAGGGGAGTTCATGATTTGTCTTTTCACTCTAAAAACATTATTTCACACGTCTTAAAAAATCATCAGTTCGGATTAAAAGATAAAAATGGCTAGCAGCCAAATTGTTGCAAGTGTTGTTTTTTTTTTGTTTTTTTTTTTAAAAAGGGAGAAAAATTGTGCATAGTAGCCTGGATCTCCTCCCTGTCCTCTGCATGCCTTGGCACATGACATGAGTGAGGTCTGGTTTTGTCTTTAAAGTCCAAAAGAAGTGTCGTGTTTGAAAATCAGCCAGCAGGGAGGAGGAATGCACCGGTTATTTTGTAATATAGTGAGGTCATCTTGATTGGAGATCAATTCCTGCAAGACAAGACGATGGAAATTATGTAATTGGTGTAAAAAAAAATAAATAAAATAAAAATAAAATTACATTTACATTTTTAAATAAAAACCACCTGCTGTAGCAGAAATTTTGATCATCACTTTAGGGCTACAACACACAAGACAATTTTTTTTCAGTATCGATCGATGTTTCTTTCTTGGTGTGTCTGGAAAAATGCTCACGACAATTTCCCACAGCTGAACGTCACGTCTTCAAACCCGTAACAACAAACTGTTTAAAACTTTGGAACATTTAGTTTACAATGATATAAAACAGTGAGAAGCAACAAGTACTCATTTAGTAAACATTTAGCTTAAAATTGTTGAAAATTGAACTAAACAACTTTCAGCTCTAAATTATTTACGTTGTTTATTGAGCCAAACTGCCAAATATTCTCTGCATTTCAGCCTCTCGAATGTGAGGATCTGCTGTTCTTCTTCTTTTATATAACTGTAAATTAAATATCTTTGGGTTTTTGACGGACAAAACACGACATCTGAAGTCGACACCTCAGGCTCTGGGAAACGCGCTGGACATTTTTCACAATTTTCTGACATTTACAGACTAAAAGAATAATCAATAGTAGATCAATCGGTAATGAAAACAGTCATTAGTTGCATGTTAGTATCTTTGTGTGATCAAAGAAGTTTGGAGTGACCAGCGTACCTGGCTAACTGTGTGTTCAGCTGAGGAATTAGCTGGGGACCCAGTTGTGAGCGGAGCCCTGTGTGGTGGCTGGGCCCGTGTAACCTTGGCCTCCAGGCAGTATGGGGTCAAAGTTGAAATCAAGGCCGTCTCCGTCCATGAGGTCACTGTTGATGATGTAGTCCACGTCACAATCCAGGTTTTCTGTGAACATGTCTATGTCCAAATCTGTGGGCAGTCGGTCCTGACCGGTGGGGAAGCAGGACGGAGCTCCAAACGGACCCATCGCCTGCAGACCTGCACCCGGATTGGCTGAGGCGACGGGCCCTCCGTGATGAGAGCCCACAGCCGGCACCGTGGCATGCTGGGCTTTGAGAGCTGAGAGCTGCGACAGGTCCTGAGACATACCTGAGAGGATCATCCCCAACCCCATCGGAGAGTGATGCTGGTGTTGTTGTTGTGGCTGTTGCTGCTGCTGCTGGTGAAGGTGGTGCTGCTGAGGCTGCATCTGAGGCTGCAGCGCCATGGGGGCCACCGTGTTCTGCTCCAGCCCTTTACCCAACAGCAGCTGATTGGGTTTGGACCTCACACCCACCACGGATGTGCCCAAACCCATCAGGCCTACCCCTCCAGGACTGGGCATGAGGGGGTCCACCTGGGTCATCATGACATCACTGGGAGGAGGGGAGTCAGAGGTGAGCAGCGCTTCCAGGCTGGAGGGCACATGTGTGCTGTAGTGGCCGCTCCCACGAGACCCGGAGCTCGACATGGGGTTGAAGAGGGAGTTGCTGAAGGTCGATGGCTCCTTGCTGCTGGGTCCGCACTGAGAGATGGAGGCCTGGGTCCCACTGTGGGTGGGGGCCTGCGGGAGACTGGATGGTTGCAGCTGATGGAAGGAAGAGAAGCTGGAGCCTCGAGGCAGCAGGGTGGAGGCAGAGGGCAGCGGAGTGGGAGGTGCCGGTGGGGCTGTGCTGGGGCTGGCCCCTCCCTGCTGCCCAGTCATCAACGTGAGGCCATCGATCAGATCCAGCTCTTCCATGAGGGTCTCGGTGAGGGTGGGGGTCAAGCTGCTGGCAGTGTATCTTCCCAGCAGCCCGTCCTCAGGGAGGTTGTCGTCGTCCTCCTGTCCAGGAGCGATGGGGGACAGGCGTCCACTCAGGGTGCTGGCATTGGAACTTGTGCGTGGACGGAAGGTGGTCCACATGTCAGTGTCGTCCAGGCTGCCACGGGATGAAGGGCTACTACTGTTGACCCCCCATTTGGGAAACTGCTGGGACGAATTAGGGCTGTCTGCGCCCGCTGACCCCGTACTGCCATCACCCTGCAGTGACCCTCCGGCGGCCGCTCCTGCCTGCTTCTTGGTCTGCTTCGCTCTCATGCGACTCTTCAGCAGTTTGCTGCTGTTGTCCATGGATGCGGCTCGACGGCGAGGAGCTTTCCCGGTCTTCCCTCCTTCTGGGTTGAGCATCCACCAGGAGCTCTTTCCTGTCGATTCATTGTGTACCCTCAAGAACTTGTTGTGGAGTGATAAATTGTGGCGGATGGAATTCTGAAAACAGGGAGAAAGAAAAAAGGGAATTATGAAAAATGTAGGTTATACAGATGAAGAGTGGGCTTCTATTCATTAAACATTTATTTAAATTACAGATTCATCACTATTAGCAAACATACTGCTTAAGTTTAAGTTATCCTACTGAAACTAAATCATGGATGCACCTGGAAATAAGTTACACTAAAAGATACTTTCATTTTGGAGAATCATGACACGGAATTTTGTTGTCTAAACTACTGATACCCAAGGACAGGAAAACACAAAACACTTTTGTCAGACTTTCCTCATATGTTTACTTCTTTCTTGTGACGCATTGGATAATTTTACATTCTTAAATTACAGTATAATAAGTTTTTGTTTTTGTATCTCAAAACGGGGGTAAAAAGTAAAAGACAAATGCAAACTGTGACGATGGGTCACAAGCAGTTATAGCTTTGGGGTTACAAGCTAAATAAAGGTTGGGAGCCACTGGTGTGAACTAATACAAAAGTATTTACTGTGTCAGATTTATCCCAGGTCATTTCAGATCAGATCTTTATTGCCCCACAAGACATAAAAAAAGAAAACACAATAAAAACATAAGACAAGCGAAGACATTCAAAGCGCTGCTATAGTAGAGTCTTCTTGCCTTACGTAAATTTAATATTTCTGGGTTTCAGTTTGTTGGACAATTCAAGACATTTAATGATGTCACCTGGCGTTGTAAAATATTGAGATGGGCATTTGTCACCATCTTTTGAAGTTTTTTTAGACCAAACAATTAATAAAATAAACAGCAGATTCATCAATAATGAAAAAAAACAACAAAGTTTTTCTTTGATGTTCTTCATAATGGACTGCATGATGATTCGAGGAGATCATTTTTCATACCTAAAATAAAGTTATTATAATAACAGTAATAAAATTAATATTAATAATACTAATGTGATATACTTTAATACTGGGATAAGTTCCTCTGGCTGCTGTGATATTTTCTTTAGGATGGACCATACAGATAAACATTGTTACATGGAGATAAGTAGTGCAACAGATGTTATGTATACAGCCACCCCACCACCACCACTTTAGGCTTTTAAATCAGTGCTTCTATGACGTAACATGAATTGTAAAGCTATAAATGTATGACTTATGGCACTCAAAGCATTAGAATCCACCTTGTTCAATGATGCAGTAAAGATGCACACACCGCACATACTCACCTTCCAGCCAGCTGAGCTGTTGCTGTCTCCTTTGTCTCTGAAGTAAGGCACTGTTTTCACCATCCACTCGTAGATCTGCGCCAGGGTCAGCCTCTTCTCAGGTGAGTTCTCGATGGCCTGGCTGATCAGGTCTGCGTAGCTCTGGTTCCCCCACGCGTTGCGCCTGGATGATCCTTTGCGGGGCGTCGCACCGGCTCCGCCCACGCCGGCCACGACCCCGCCCTCGGCCGCCACCGAAGCCTTCTCAGGCTCGGACGTGATTTGCTGCGGCTCGGGCTTATCCTCGTCGGCGGGCGGGGTACCGGCGGCGGATTCGGTGCCATCGCCCCCCTCCGGTTTGACAGCCGAGATGTCGGGTCTCGGTAGAGGCCACGTGCAAGAGCGGGGTCTGCTCTGCGGCTCAAAATCTGGGTCAATCGGGGGCACCGATGACTCCTCCATGGCGGTCCGCTTAACTTCCACTTAACCACAGAGATGGGAACCACTTAAAACATTTACCTTTAAACTTTAAAGTTAGTCTAACTTTGAACGGATGATGCGTTAAAAAAAAAATCCTGACACAAAAACAAGTCTTCACCCACTGAGGGGCCTAGAAAAGAGACGTAATAATCTGGACACACCAATAGCCTCGGTTAATCCTCAGATTGGAGATTAGGGAACCCAAATAATCTCCTTAATAGTAACTATCATAAACCTTCCGATTTATATAGAATGAAGGAGGGCTGAGACGAGAGCCCCTTTGTTTGAATGAAATAAAAACAAAAGTGGCAGAGTGGCAACGAGCACCAAAACATCTGGATCTACAGAGGTTTAGGCTCGCCTGAAAATGAATTACAAATTCATTAATGTATATGGATATACAATAATGCCATTCCTCTTAATAAACACTCAATTTAAATATTTGTCAAAGAGTAAATGTCACAAAAGTATACTTTTAACTGTTTCTGAAAGTATAACCAGGCAATGATTTAAGATAAAAACCAATATAAAGTTTTGTTTCGTACCAAATTTATCAAATTAAATATACATTTTTTGATTCAAACCTACTTTTTTTACTGTAACACTATGAAGGTTACAAACAGGGATTAGCTGGCTATGGTTACAAAGGCGCTTCTCAAGAGAGCCCCTGTCCGCCTCCACTTGTAAACAATGTGATGTCTGGGCTCTCCACAAGACAAAATACCTCCACCCAAGTTTTTAAAAAATCCCTAAATTACCCCCAAACAGCCACAAACCAGTCCGGTAGATCAAAGTGTAAAAACGGCAGATTATCCAAGCAGCGGTTTTGTTCATCGACTGTCTAAAAGTAAAAAAAAAAAAAAACCGGAATGAAACGCTGTGGCCTGTAAGTTAAAGTGTGGATAGATTTAGGTAACGGCTTAATAGTGTTTGAGTTGATAAAAGTGTGGGGGCGAGAGAAATGTGGGAAGAAAAGTCCGTGCTTCAGGTCTGCACGGTCCGCCACATTGCGGCCAGGCGCATGTCACCATCTGCCATGTTTCTCCACACTCCGGCCGCGGCACACGATGCTCGAAGAAGCGGTTATAAAAACCCTCCTTCGACCGCGGCCCGCAGCTCTGCCGATCGTCGGCCCGAAGTCTCGTTAAACGAGCTACGAAGCGGATCCCCGGGTGCTGGGTGAAGCTGGGTCGCCTCGGAGGTCTGTCGGCTCCCACTCGCAGCACTTTGAAAACAGCACGACAGCCTCCGTAACGTTAGCTGGTTAAGCTCCTGCTACTCCAGAGTTTACAATCCGTGAAAAAGTCCGCGAAAACCCTCACATACCTCCCTCCAAGTTGCCGTTTTTGATCAGTGGTGAGTTTTGTAGAAGTTCCTGTCGTCGTTGCTGTCCAAATATTCACTCCTTCAGTGTCTTTTTGACTTGTTTTGTTTTGTTTTGTTTTGACTCGAGGCGAAGACTCCCTTCTGACGTCTGTTTACCACTGTCAGGCAACGCGCTCTGCGCCTGCGCCAAGAGGACTTCTGGGAAACCGAGTAATTCATGTGACAGCGAACAGGCGTAAACAAATCAGCAGCTCAGGGTGTCAACATGTACCTGTTGTGGGGCATTATGTAACGGTTTATGAATGTGTGCTAAGCCCCAGGTACACTTAGTACATTTAAGGTATTACCGGTCAGTGTTGGAAAAAGTACTCAGACCTTCTACTTTAGTATCAAACAATGTAAAAAAACAAACAAACTACAGTACAAGTAAAAGTCCTGCATTCAAAATCCCACTCAAGAAGGCCTAACAATACAGACATATTATCAGCACCAGCAAAAGTACTTGCTGTCCCCTTTAATTGATATATTATTATATATTGAATTATTACATTAGTAGTACTGTTGCATTAAAGGATAAGTTTACCCTTTTCTTTTTGTATTTTAAATTGTTATTTTATTGTCTTTCATATAATTATTACAGAACAAAAACACGTCGTAAGTAAGGCACACAACTTGTTGATACAACTTAAAATATCTCAGTCCCCATCTAAAGGTTTTAGTAGTGCCTTTGCCATGGGTTTTAGAAGCAGTCTAATTTCCCCATTTTTAATCAATTGTCAATTCTCAGAACATGTGTGTGTCTTTCCATATCATATATCTCTTCAGCCATGTCCAGCCAGTGCTTCAGAGTAGGGGGATGCCTTGGCCACCACTCACAGAACTTTAAAAAGATATCAGTTCTCATGATGTGTATTATCTTGTGTCAGACTATCTAAATATAGTGCCACGCATGCCTTGAGTAATGCCTATAACATCACTGTCAACTCTATCCACACACCAGCCCCAATACTTTGTCACAGGGTCACAATTTTTCAAGTCTGTCTTAAAATAAAAGTCTCTTGCCCCTGTGAACAATGACACACATCTTGCTATAATCATTACTCTTGTTCATACTGGACATTAAAAGGCCTCTTCCTGTTGCTCCTTCAGTGTAAGTAATGGGGACAAAATGCATAGTCCTTCTTCCTCACAAAAATGTATTCAAAGGTTTATCTGCACCTAATATGAAGCTTTAGTCATCAGACAAATTAAGTGCAATATTTCCTGCTTTGAATTATCCTAATACCTGTTAAATGCATAGGGACTGTGGATTTTGTCACCTGTCACTTCCATTGAGGGGGTATTGGGAAGGGCCAGTTTGAACATGAGGAATGATTATAGCAAGAATTTGTTTGTTTGGCCACCTGACTATTGTTTTAAGACAGACTTGGAAAACTGTGAACCTGTCCTTTAATATGTTCACTAAGTAGCATTTTACTTTTCTCTAAACTGTGTATATTGAATAATTTAACCTTGAGTTGAGAGGGAAAATCTGAATTTAATTTGAACTCAGGTAGAGAAATCAATCTCCACCTCCCATTATTATTATTATTATTATTATTGTTTAAAAAATAAATACAAATATTCACCAAGAGACCCAGAAAGGAACCACATACTCCTGGTCCAGGGATATGTCCTGGTTTTAATTTACAGTAATTTGATTAAGCATGATATTTTGGAAAATGCACTGTGCGCGTGAAATAAAAAAAACTTAAAACTGCTACTAAATATTAGTTTCACTGAAGGACTCCAGATATTTAGTTGTACTGTTAACTTGTCACTGTTCTTATTTTTTCCAGGTATAATTAAGATCTGAGACTTGGCTGGAGATTTCACCCCAGTTCTGTGGATTTAGTTGATAATATAAAGATTACCAACTTGGTTAGAAACTTTTGTTGTAATACCTGATTGTCAGTTAATTATTGTCTTATCCAGAAACCAGTGTTTCAGACCTGACAGGGTTTCCCATGATTTTCTGTATGTTGTCTTTTGTTGCCAGGGCCTGATGAACAGGGAACAGTGAAATCAAAATATGCAGCAGATATGAAAAATAAATGAGAAAACCTGGACTGAAACAAACCCTTATTCAATGTCTGAAACTTAAGTAACCGTTGTACTGTATCAACAGCAAAGGGTTATCTTATTGTTCATTAAGTGGTTTTCTAAGTACGGTTAGTAGTAGCTGTAGTTAGGTGTTACTTACATCTATATACAGTTACATTAGTGTGTTGTAAACCATTTATTAAACAAGCTTATAAATCCTGAATCTCTATCTCAAGCTCTAAAGTTTGCCTTTCAGTCTGGCACTGTTCCTCATTAGCTGAGTCAAGATTAAGAAGACGCTGGCATCGTGATTAAAATGCTGCAATGGCTCCAGGTGTCTGATAGTGTGGACCCAATTTTCCTGTTGCTCCACTATGACTAACCTGATGGCTCAGGGTGTGGGATCAACATCAGGAACCAGAGAGCATGTGTTGTCTGCAGGTAACCAGGAACTAGGCAGGACCCACCACAATGCTGTGCTGTGTTTTTGCAGCAGTCTCCTCTGTGTTGATTAGCACTCATGTCCCCAGAACTGGATCGTTGTATGGGCACTGATATGTGACATCAGGTGATATGGGCTTGGCTGGGTGAAAATCAGTGGCTTTAGACTGAGGTTAAATAGACAAACACTGAGATTTAAACAATTTAATTTAGCTGCTTAAACTGACTAACAGATTTGATGAAGATGCTGAGCCTTGAGCCTGCAGCTTATTTTAAAAGGTGCACATGAAAGGAGTCAGAAAAGGCTCTTCAGTGAGATTTCATCCTGTCCTGAACTTATTCTATCCCTCCTGTTTTAATCCCCTGGTCTACTGCCAGTCAGTATTGCACAAGACTAAAATCTGATAACCTGGTTGAGCAGGAAATTTCAGTCTTGATGCTTAAATGCTGCAAGTGTATTGAACCTTTTGGTTGTTTTGTCTAAATGCTCAATCTGTTTGCTAAACTGTTAATTGTACTGATGTTATGTAGCCTATATGTACTGTATGTATACAAGTACTATTGATGCAACTTTATTTATTTGGAGTAGCAAATGAAGATTCGTGCAACTGGATGGAGGCAATTTATTAATCACCCAGACTATTCAGATCTTATCTTAGAAATTATTTCTTTATGGTGAGAGGTTATAGCAACAAGTCAAAAACCATTTTATTGAATCCCTTTTTTTTTGCACAGTGCATAAGCCATCTGTCCCTCATTATATCTTTAGATATAATTCAGAATAACTTTTGTGACCCAATGACGAGACACGTCTCCTGGCAAATAATGCCCAGTGAAGTGTAACAAATAATATTCTTACTTCGTTCTACAATACAAATTATCATATTATCATTAGCCCAGACAAATAATGCCTCTGGCCAAACTGCATCAGCAAGGCAATTTTTGTAAAACAGCACTATTTTAGATTGGGATTCACATTTAACCTGACTAAGACCAGGAGGACTGAGTTTTGGGGCATTTTGAAACCACAAGAATGTTGTGGGTGGATGACGTGACAGCTGATAGACCTGCAGACAACAGAAACCACCTGTGTTTCTTCCTCAGATGCTAACATGGAGTCAGTCAGTTTAATCTTGAAAAGGCCACAGAAGTCAAGGCACTTACTGTGTGTGCACTACATTGTGTGTGATGTGGCTTGTGTATTCATGTATTTGCATCATTTTTGGTGTGAGCATAAACTTTTAAGTGTCAACTGCTAGTGAATGATTTTTGTGCAGTACATGAGTAAAGTAAAATGTTAAATCTTGGAGTCATTGCTTTTAAGCTACATGACAACATTGTGGGCATGGAAAGATTGGTGAGTGGGCCTACCATAGCCTGTCTTTAATGTGGCTGTTCCCATTTCTTGCTCTGAAGTCAAACAATCAAAGAGAGACACAAAACAGCCACAAAGAGATGAAAAAATACCACAAAAAGATACAAAACAACCATAAAGTGATGAAAATTAAAATAACCACAAAGAGATGTTATCAACCACAAAGAGACACAAAAAACGGAAACAAAGAAAGAAACAAAAAGTGTTTTGATCCTATGTAGGAGGGTGGGGGCCTTGCCGTGTCTGTGTCCTGGGGCCCCATGTCTCACGATCTGTCCACAATTGTGGATTCTAAACGATATTTGGCCTTTGACAAAACAATCTCAACTCTAGGAGTTTGCTCAGTTGCCATGAAGATCATCGCTATGGCAACTGAGCAAACTCAAGCTACAGATGAAGACTGTGTGATATATGTGACGTATTAGATTATTAATACAGATGCATCAATTTGTAAGCAGCATTCTACTGATGTAGCTAGTTGGTTGAGGCGGAGGGAGTACTTATTACTTTATATACAGTTTGGTAGTTCAGTCCAGTTGTTAACAACCTGGGGGTTGGGCCCCTCCAAAGGGACACCAGATAAATCTGAGGTGCCATGAGATGATTAATGAGGGTTGACAGGAAGAAAAAACAAACTGCTACACAAATCTGTGGCCGTTTTATGGACTGTTTTCTTTTTTCTTTGCGAAAGAACAAGTATGTCAATACTTACATAGCCTACATCACTTGAGTAAATGTACATAGTTACTTTCAACCCCTGAGCCTCTCAGGCATAAATACATCAAATTAGTAATTATGTGTCATACTGAATGCAGTATTTAATGGACATAAAGGTTTTTCTAATTTATATAGGCCATGATGTCACAGAGGTGCTTACTCGTTCTGCACTTCAACTCCCAGAAGTATTTGCGGTCGTTCTGTGTTTACAACCAGCTGACATCCGGCATCTTCCCGTCCATTAGCCACCGATACCCACAGTCAACGATATCCGTGTACACTCGATATTTTCCCCACGAAAAGGGCTCCCTGCTGATTCGTCAACTCAACTGAATGCAAAATTTCATCATATTCATCCGATGCAGGTGAGCTCCACAAGCAAAAATCGCCTTTGCACATTTAGTTAGCTAGCCCGCAACTGGCCAGCGATAGCAGGATTGGCACAAGCTAACACAGCAGCTAATGCTAACATTAGCATAAGCATTCTCTATTAGCACGGCTCAGTTTCGACATCTGTCAAAACGAAACTCGATGGTAATTCGTGGGAGACATTTTTTCTAGCTATTTAACAACAAACACTACCTCATTATTACATGGTAGCTCATTAGCAGCGGTGGTTGAATCTAACAAATGTAGGCAGTGTTAGCCCGCTAGCTTTACGTTAACTGTTAACCTGGAAAAGCTGAAGCTGCTACGCTCAGTTTGTTATTTTTAATTAGCTAAACCACGGCGAAGTGAACCAGTTTGCTCACTGCCTATATAGCTTCAGGTAACTAATCGATCATGTGCATGGTTGGCGTTTGATTTATATCGCTGTGCTGTTAGGTGTTGATGTTAGCGACATATCAGTTCGATGGATCAGGGGAGATGTGCGGTGCCACTGCGGTGCCAGGCTGTGGGAAGCAGCCTCACAGTGTTTGTGTTGTTTGTGTCAGGGCTCTGGCCCCGTCTCCAGCAGCTGAAGCACACCAGTCCTGTCCTCTCTGCTCCACGTCCACGGCCGTCCTCATCCCTGAGCCATGACCACCCAGAGGGATCTTGATATGGTGAGTGAGGGTCTGCCACCTTTCTGAAGTTATTTTCTAATGTCACAAAGAACCGTTGAGTCTGTCACACCTATTGCTGCTGCTTTGATATAGCTACGGACTATGACATTATATTATCATGCTGATAACATTACATAAACGTTTCCCCAAATTAAAATTATTTAGGGTTAGGGGTGGGAGTAGGAAGGGGATCATGGATTAGCCAACGACCACAAACACTTAGCTTGGGCAGTGACTGCTGTTCCTGTGAACGCCATCTGTCTAATCTCAGTTAAAACGTTGCCCTACTTTCCTTTCAAGGTTTAGACGCCAATTGATTGTACCCTCTTACTACCCCCCACCCCCTCCTCCAACCATAGGAATGGACAACACAACACTCATTTAGGGACAGATCAGAAATGTTAGTAGAAGTTCTACAGAGAATAAGATTTCCTGGCAGCTGGCTTTCTAACCTGCAAATAGTCACTGTATAGTACTGTTGGACAAAGGAAGGTGACTGAGTTTTTGCACTTGTGAAGCTGTAACAAGCAGATCTTTGTGAGGATTTGCTTGGTAATTGATTAATACAGTTAACCATTTAATCAATTATCAAAGACAATTATACAATCAATTGTTTTAGTGCTAATAGGGAAGCATTTACTGTAGACAGAAAATTAATCTGCAACAATTGTGATGATCAATTAATTCATTTTTTGAGTAATAATTCAATTTTGTTGGCTATGACTTCCCTATTTGCCAATTTTCATCTTTTTCTGTTTTATATAATTATAAATTGAATATATATCAGGTTGTGGGCTGTTGGTCAGATAGAACATACATCTGAAGATGTCACCTTGGGCTCTTGGGAACTGTGATGGATGTTTTTATTTTCTGGCAACCAAACATTTGCTTAATTGTGAAAATAATTTTCAGATCATGCCCAATATTGAAAAGAATTTATAGTTGCAGCACTTGAAACACTAGCACCTTTGTATTTGTTGTACACATCAAAATAATATTTAAACAAGAATGTTGTTAAATGTTTTATGTAGGAGACGTACATCAAGTAAAAGCCCACAGCAACGCAAAATGCAATTTGGTGGATCATCCCTCTTGGCAACTATCCTGGGGCATGAGTTTGTGGTTGGTTAAGTTTTTAGGAAACTTGACCAACATTAAGAATGGATAAGCCTTTGATAGCAATGGTAACCCTTAAAAAAGTCATAATAGTGTTTGAAGAATTTAATGTCTTTCTTTGGACTGGACAACCTAGAGGACAGTTGTGATGCAGGATGTTGCCATGGGTAACCAGGCAGATTTGACTTTGTTTTTATTTTGTACGGGGGTGAAAGGGATGGAGACAAAGCTTGTTAATGATGACATGGGTATGTAACCTCACATTGAGGTTATTCAGTTCAGATGGGGGAGGGGAGGGAAGAGGACCACCGAGGGAGGATTGTATTTGTAAACAGATCAGAGAGTGGGGTTGTCCCTCACTGACGTCACACCTCGTGGTTAAGTCTCTTTGTTCTTTCCTCTGTGATTTGTGAACCAAAGAAAGTTCATCTTCGACCTTTTTAGGAAGGGCAAATGTCGGTGAAAATTAATTCCGATTTATCAATTCTTACTCTTGAGTAGAGGTGCCCTACTAGAAAGATTTAGTTGATTGGATTTTTTTTCCTCCAGAGTAATTTTTTGGAGTACCAACATGATTGATTAGAGATGATAGATTAATGGATTAATAAGGAACAGTACTTGCTGTAGCATACATTAGACAGCTAAAGTCCAAAACTGATCAATAATTCAGTTCAGATTGATGTATCACTCCTGACCATGAGCTGACCCTGCAGGCAGTATAAAATAAGTGGACAAGTTATCATTATATCACGATTTCAAATCCTTCACTGCCTGAAATCTGCGAGAAGGAGAAACATCTAATTAGAATAGAAATGTTCAGAATAATTGTAACATTAACATCAACAATGATGATGTTTATCACCCTCCCCTGATTGTCTGGTTAACCACTCCTGCCATCATAGAGTCTGTTAGCCTGTTGGTACAGCACGTACATGGGTGTGGTATCCATTTTTAGACACTTTAATCTGATGAAAATCCAACTGGGATCGAAACCTGGTCTATTCAGATAAATTAGAGGTTTGGAGTCAATGTGCAGTCGTTATTCTTCTCATCAATATCTGAAATCTGTGACCCATAGACATCCACTTGATGGATGCTCCACCATCTTCAAGTTGACACTGTTTGTACTTATTTCATGTGTCAGGGGAATTTTGTCTTCAGACTGGTCTTCAGCTTCTTTAAGGTCAGGAGATTGATTCTGGACTATGGTGTAGACGGAGATGTCATGTGGCTACTGCAAGAACTGTGACTGGCTGCTTGTGTTTCCCCCTACATGTTTCTGATGCCGGTTGAGTTTGTTGAGAGTAAAGACAGCATTAGGGAAGTTAAAGAAAGTCTTTCAATGGTCTTCCCTTTTCACTAACATCTAACAAAGTGATTACACTGCAAACCCTCTGCTCACTGTGATCACTGCTCTGTATAAATGAATGAATGTAACAACATTACGCTGTTTAGTGATGAGACACAGTGAAATAACAAGTTACCTGGATGAAAATCCAGTTCTATAAATCTAAGTTTGTAGCTTACTGTTGCTCTGTATTGGAAAGTAAATTAAAGAATGTAAACTCAGGGGAATATAAAGCCTGATGGGGCCTGATAACACATAGAACTGAAAGAATTGAAAAGCAGACTCCTTGCATCAAGTATAAATCCAGTTTTACGGCTGAAAGTCTGTACACCAGTCAGTGTTTCTTTTCAGTGCAAAGAAGATAAACACATTGTTGTGTTCTGTTGCTGTCATGTTATGAATCATTAATGTTATATACATTATACGTACAATTATACATGTATGGTTGTTAACTGGACTACAATATAGGGCTGCAACTATTGATTTTATCCTACCAATCATTTTTTCTAATTATTTAGTCTATGAAATGTCACACTTTCCTAAAGTCAATGTGACATCTTTATATCACCTGTTTTTTTCCTCTGTGAAAAGTCTATGTAAGAAAATCAGGGAATCATTACATTTGACAAGCTGCTACTAGGTGTGATGTTTGGCATTTTACTTTCATGTTGAATTTCAAAATAGTTGCAGATTCATTTTATGCTGATTATTTGATCAACTTATTGTGTCAGGACTACTTGAATAGGCTGTTTAATTATGTTTGTGAAATTTTAATATCTTGTAGAATGTGTATGGAGTGTCCCATGTGGATTTCCTGATGTTAGTGTAATATTTAGGCCTTCGAGGCATCTTAGACAAGCAGCTCTTTTTTATTTTCAATGTTTTTTTCAGACAGATTGGTTTGCGTACTTGCCCAGAGGATAAAATTTCAAGGAAGCCCCATTGTTAAATATCCTCCCACACACATATGCACAGTCCCCCTCAGGGCTACGCACTGGCCATGTAAATTTAATAACATGGCCCAGAGCTGTCTGGGACACCTGGGGTTATCGCATTAGGCCGACAGCCCGGAGAGGAGCTCGCAGCACCCTGGAACTAAGGGGCCAGTGTTCTCCCCCTCAGCCCCACCCTTATCTGTTGTCGTCCCCAGCAACAGGGGCTCACTTCAGTGTAAGCCCTCAGTGGATGAAGTCGCCCAGTCAAAGGGTGGAGATCTGGTGTGGATAAATCTAATTAGACTGGAATGCCCGTCTCTTCACAGCCTTCTGAAGGTCACCTCATGTCTGAAGAGGTTAGAGTATGTGGAGGGATTCCACCACCACTTATTAAGAAGAATTTTAATGCAAGTTTGGTGTTTGTGTTGTCTGATGTGGCGTTTCAATGGACTAACATTAGACTGTTGTTATTTGTTGTTTTAGGTGCACCTCCGCCTCATCCTGGTCAGTGGGAAAACGCAAGACTTCACTTTCTCCCCAAATGACTCGGCCACAGACATCGCCAAACATGTATTTGAGAACTGGCCTGCAGGTATGTTTTGCAGGATTTATTTTGTGTGTGCCCATTTGATTCAGTCACAGTCTTTGCTGACACACATTCTCAGTTTCTGCCAATAGTTTTTCCTTCATTTCCTATTTTGGCCCATCACTACTTCATGCATGTGATGAAAACCTTGTATACAATGTTTATATTATTATTATCATTGTTATAACAGTATTATGGTGAAGACTGATAAATAGGCCAGGCTTCACTTACGATATTAGCTTATAACAGATACATTGCCATTGATAGATATGTAACAAGACATTGCAGTGAGTGCCGAAATGCTGTATATACTGTTGATCGTTATAGTGAAAATAATAATAGTAATACCCACAGGTGTAATCGTGCAGTCAATAACAGCAACAATGATTGGAGTACCAAATAATGATTATAACAACAATAATGATGATGATGATGATGATGATGATAATGAGAAGAAGAATTTTCAGGGCCGAGTGCATGTGAATTTGGTTGAACAGAAACATAATGTGACTATACATTAAGTGATGCATTTGTTTCTCTGCTCTCTGACAGGATGGGAGGAGGAGAGGGTGAGCAGCCCCAGTATACTGCGCCTCATTTTCCAGGGACGCTTCCTTCATGGCAATGTTACCCTGGGAGGTAAGACTGTCTCTGAACAAAGACACCATCACAAAGACAATTCTGGCGTCAGTGAATGACAACACGAATAAATTTAACACAAATAATTCTTAGCATTTACTTCCATTTACTGGAAATCTTGTGGAGCCTTCAGCCACATTGTGAATGAAGTTTGCTCAGTTATCATGTGGTTCAGTTGTTATCAAGTGACCTAAGCATGGAATTTCAATCGCAAGGTAAAAGGTAATTTTATCCTGTCATTAAGGCTGTGAGATATGGCTGAAAGCTCCAGAAAAATTTCCAGTAAGTGGACTTTGTGCAAAGGATAATTTGTGAAGCTGCCTTTTCCAAGACAAATAATGCACCTTCAAACTCAGTTCTGTAGATTCTTACACTACTGTGAAACATTTCTGTCTTATTTACTTCACACTTAATATGAATTTTATTTTACTCAATGTGATCTAGACAGTTACTATTTCTGAGATGTTATAAACTACATGTAGTAATATCATGGAAGAAACGTGTGTGCCTCAATAATTAAAGAAATCTGAGAGAGAAACTTGTTCCTGGCCAAATACTTTTGAGTGAGTTGCTCACTCACTCTCTCAAAACTCAGGTCACAGTGTTTGTTTGTACTTCAAATCACACCAGAAGTCCACCCCCACTTAAAAAGTACTTATTACTAACAGCTAAGTTCCTTTTGTGACTGCATCATAAATTTACACAATAACTGCACTAACAGAGCGTAACTTCAACCACAGTGGTAATAACCTAACCCAGAATCACAGGTTCATAATATGACAAAATTAACACATTTGTGGTCATAGTGACAGGTGCTGGTGGAGTGAAGTCATTTCCCTTCACCTCACAGTCTTCCTAAACTTGACGTGTACACAGTTTGACAAATGAGCAGCTGAGTCAAAACAAAGCAGTGTAAGCACCACGTCTGATTTGATTATTTTAATCCTGTTAAACTTCTGACCTCATGGACTCTCTGCCCTGTACCTGGCTTGCACTTGTGCCATCAACAACTGGGATTTACCGACGACCAATCAGAAGGGCTGGTTCAGTGGTTCAGTACTACGTGGGCCAACCACTGGTGCACAAAACACTTTTCTTTTTCTTTTCTGAAGCTGCAGTCAGACCGAAATTCACGTGGTCTAATGAAAACAAGGTGGGACAGGAAATAGAGTGGGTTAGGTCGTAAACAGTTTTGTTAGCAGGCTGACAGCTGTTGTTAATTAAACAGCTTCTTATCTGATACTTGACTGTTATTTACCTCTATTTCACTACAGCCACTCAGCATCCTTTCTTCTCTGCTGCTTGAATTTATAAAAAAAAGAATATAAACAAACAATATTAAATAAAAATATCAATAAATGAAGGTCAATCTCACCCCGTCTCTCAAACTGGCTGACATTCTCCTTCAGTCATTTAAACTGGGTTAAACTGGAAACTGTTATTCACACAGGGGAAACTCAGTGACAGCTCTTGTGAAGCAGTAATATACAAATAAAAAGTGTTTATAAATAGTACTATAACACAAAATTGTCACCAAGAGTTAAAAATAAATGAATAAAATAAAAAACAATAAACTGCAAAATAAAAGTAAATGATAACAGAAATGGTGGAAATGTTCTGATGAGGGAAACAAACTGAGAGAAATTTCCTGAGTGCAAAGAAATTAAGGGCTGAGTGGGAAATACTCTTCTGAAGTATCATCCTTTCAATAATGTGATTGTTTGTCTAAAAAACTTCGTCATAGACACATAATAAGTCTTTCATCACCTCATAATCATTTTCATAGTGCTGGCCTCCATCTCCATATGATAAAATAAAATACAACAAAAAATAATGAATCATGAGGTATATTTCTGTGTTTAAAGCTCTAAAGCTGCCACCGGGCCGAACGACCGTCATGCACTTGGTTGCCAGAGAGACTCTTCCAGAGCCCAACTCTCATGGTGAGCATCTTTTCTTTCACTCATTTATGTACTTATTTATTTATTTATGTATTTATTTATTTGCAGACATTATAAACTAGTTATCATGTGTAGTATCTATTGTACTAGCCCTATTATAGGTCGATCCTGACTATAACATTTCATGATGTGGTTTAAATGTTGTAGCCTACTCCTGCTCTTACATTTATTTGAGTAAAACGAGCCACGAATATCAACGTATTAGGTCACAAATACGTGACCTGTCACATATATCATTTGGTGAGCCTTTGTCACTTCTGCCGCCAACGTCAGCCTCGTCCCACACAGCGCCTGTAACTGTGCTTCTAGTTTCAGCTGGTTGTTTTTATCTCACCTCACGTCTCTGGTGTCTTGTCTTTGTAGGTCAACGGAACAGAGAAAAAACCACAGAGAGTAACTGCTGTCTCCTCTTGTAAAGCAACAGAAACGGCCCCCTCCCCTCAACCATGACCTCACACGTAACACACACATAACACACAAATATAAACATACATACACTCTGCTCTCTCCTGCCCGTCGTCCTATCAGCTGTGGATTTGGATTAAATCACAGGAAGTCTGGTTGGAGGCTGTTACCTGCTTTGGTTGAACTCTTGTCCAATCTGAGGCTTTTTTTGTGCCAATATATTCAGTTTTTGCCCCCAAACTTTTATTTTATCGACAGAATTTGCTGTTGTTACTCCTTTTTATTTGAAGATCATGACATTAAACAATCCCTTCGCTGCTGGACAAGTTTTAAAGAGCTGTCGTACGTAGTGAAAAAGACCCAGGAACTCGTCGCTCTTCATGGACACAGAAGTGCTATAAAGGATGCGTGGGCTTTAACCCTTCCCTCCTAGTCACATGGATGTTTCCCCAGGTCTTACTCAATGGTGTTAACCCTCTCATTGCACTTAACCAGTTTGTTCATTCAGAAGTGTTTATTGTGTCATCCTGACTTCCCTCATGACATTTTTCTTTGAACAGACCTTAATTCCCCACGTGGTAGAAAACGTGCCATCCTCCTCATAGACTGTTTCTGCCTCTTATTAACTGAACCGTTTGGTCTGTATCAGCACCAGTGGCGTTAATGCCATTACCTACACCCTGTTTGTTCTTGGCAAAGGACCAATGGAGAAAAGACTTTTTGATAGGAGGATCTGCATAAACACCTGAGGGACGCACAGGTCCACGAGCAACAGGAACAGACTCCCATCAAGGCATGCAAAGATGGAGGCAGAGGATTGGCTTGTGTGCCACCGGGTGTCATGTTCACACTTGTGGTGGTGACTTTATTGACTAGACTGTCAACGTTCCCTCGTAATGGGAGCCAACATGGCGGGCCAGTTAAACGCAGACAGAAGGAGATGGTTGAAGATGGGAGGGGAGGCGTGTGGTCGGTGTGAGACCCTCCTCTACTGGACACAGAAAACAAGACGGGGAGAGTTATCTCCCACTGGGATAAAGAGTAAAAAGGAAAATTTCGGTGGTGTTTCACCTCCTTTTCATTTGGATGCTGTCTTTACTTCTTGTTTGCCTTTTATTGTGGAATTCAGTAATATCATTAATATTGAAATTTAAATATATCAATTTTTATCTTGTGTATAGGTATTTGTTGAATTTTAGTGTGGGTGAGTTTGTGTGTGAGTGTGTCTGAGGGTGTGTGATGCACGTGGCATACTGTGTGAAGACTAGTGAGGGCATGTGGTCTTAAAAAACAAGGTGGTGCACTGGGAGTGTTGATGGGCTGCGGTTTCTTCAGAAACAGTCGGAAACCTTTTGATTCCTTCCATTGAGTGTCCTTTGGTTTGTGTTTTTGTCAATCAATGTCACTGCTATGAAGTTTAGCTCAGTATGAATAAATGTAAAAACTAAAATGCAATGTGGTCTACATAAAAGCTTGTATTATAAATTAATAAATCTTTAAATAAGGCAACATCTTTTGATTCATTTTTACTATTTCTCAAAAGGCAACAAAAGACAGAAGTTGCAGAGTTGCAACTAAAGATTATTTTAATTATAGATTCATTTATTTTTTCCAGGTTTAAGGTAACACTTTCGAATGTCTTGCTCTGTCTGACCAGCAGTCAAAGACCCAAAGATATTTAATTTTCTATCACTAAAGACTAGAGAGTATTCAAATTTTAAGAAGCTGAAACCAGAGAATTTTTGTATTTTTTACTTAAAAATTGGCTCAAATGTTAAATTCATGATCAAAGTGGTTGCAGGTAAACTGGTGGTTGCAGGTAAATGTAATTACATGCATGTAAATTGTAATGAAATAATTGAAATAAATCAGTGGTCTACAGTTGCAGTTATATGCAAGAGAATCTGTGATTTTGTCGTGACCTAAACCTCAAAAAGAGAAAGCAAAAGAGTTTTTGAACAGATTTGATAATTATTTTTTGTTTTTATAGATCTTTCTGTACTTCTCTCACCTCTGTCCACAATTTATGAAAAAGTTTTTTAGCTGTGGACAGCTTTTCCTCTGTGCATGGCATCGTGGGACAGAAGTGTTCATCAACAGCACACTCAAAAATCAAAATTAGTTCTGTTTTAAGTCACAAGATCCCCTCCACACATGTTCTAGACGAATAAGAACACTGTGCTTTGAACAGTAATTTAGGTCTCATGGTTTTGCCACAAAAAAAGTTAAATGATCTTAAAATTACATCTGGTGTTCTCCTGCCTCATTGAAAAATAAGTTGTTTATTTAATTACTGTAGATAATGTTTCTTTCTTCACTGGGAAGTCCTTGTTCAGTGTCGGTGCACCAGAGGTCACACTTGTCTATGAGTTTCATATTGGACCATGGTTTGACCATGACTAGTTGTGATGCCAGATTCAGAATTCGTGCTTGTACATACATGAGTTAAACTCAGATTTAAGGTGAGTGTAGGGAAACTTTCCTTCAGCAGATCAATGTGAAAACAAACTCTGAAGCTCAAACATCTGTGTCAAGTAATGATAAATAAAATGTTTTTGAGTGGAGGGGAACATTAATTTCGTGTTAACACTGTAAAGTCCCTCTATGTATATTTTTTATATAATTTATGAGCAGTATATGAAAAAATTATAAATGGTTAATAACACACTATAATGTCATTGTATGCAGCTAAAATGACATTCAAGTGTTTATTAGTGTACTGAATTTGTTAACAATTTAACTTCTATGGAGATATTTTGTTATTACAACTGTGTTTTATTATATTGACATTAATTTCTGTTAATACATCAGCCTCCTCTTACTGGTGTTAAAAATATATTAATAAAGACTTATATCTTACAACTACATTACAGTGTGTTATAAGCCGCGTGTTAAATGTCCTGCTTATAAATTATACATGAGGGGACTACGCAGTCAACACCTGCATAGAATTATTTTTAAAAAAGTATGCAGTAGGGGCACAGTTAAAATGAACTGCATGTACTTTGAGAAAACATTTGTAGCACAAAATCCACTTAGTGTTCAAGAGAATAAAGAATTTTATTTCTCTTACTGTTATTTCTGAGGCCCACAATGATCCAACTACATGTAGTTTTATGCTTTGACCTTCAGGTGGCAGTGTTCCTCTGTAAGACTAATGAGTGGGGCTAATCATGGGCTGCTGGAGTGTTGTACAAATACAAAGCGGATAGGAATATGTGAGTTTATTTTGGCTGTGCCTAATGCATTGATGGGAACTAAAGTAGAACCATAAGTTTATAATTTGTGAACTACTATTTCAACACCAGGTATTAACTTAAAACTGTCAAAGCTAAAAGGAAACTAGATATATTTCTGCACAGTTTAGTGACACAGATTCCCAGCCTCACTCAGATCAGATGAAATAGTCATTTTGTTGTTATGAGTGGGTCATGACTTTGTGTTGAGCTGATTTTCAGCAGCCCCCCCCCCCCCCCCCCCCCCCCCATCTCTCTCAGGAGTCTGCTCCTGACCTGTAGTTGCAAGAAGTCCAGGTTTCCAGTTGACACTGGCAGTGTACCTTAGGAAAAGTGCAGTCAGCCCGGATCCCTCTCAACATACTGTACTTCCAAAACCTGCTATTGTGCTAAAACTATTTGTCATTCTGTGTCTCTTCACATTTTCCACTTGCTCTTATCTGAACCGTGTTATGCCGTCAGTGGGGTTCGACAGAGGTTAGTGGAAAGTGAAGTCTGAACAGAAGCGCCGAGCTGACCGCAGAGGCGATCAGGAGTCTTTAAATGAGAGTCCAGGGAGAGAAGCTGTTGAAATTTCTGCTACTTAAGTCCAGTGCGTTCAGAGCTGCTGCTGCAGGATGAATTGCTGTCTGCAGTCGACATGACTCAAAGCACGTGTGCAGCCAGTTTCTTGGGTGGGCTGCGGTCCAACCAACATACACTGCTGGTCTGTCTGTCCCAGGAGGGCGGCCTGCACTCTCAGCCACCTGGCCTACCCTAGTCCTGACATGAAGGTCTTAACTCCCACTCTGACAGCAGTATGTCCTGCTGTGTAGAGCACGTAGACGTGCCCTTAGTGGAGTCAAACTGTACTCAAGTAGGATTGCTTGGGTTTAAAAACAGTATAGTACAAAAGCTTGTACTAAGAGATACTCAATTCCACACTGTGAATAGGCCACTAACGTGTGTGCATGCTCACGCCTTACCAACGATCTCCAATATTTTTTTAAAGAACCATAGCTCTCATGTTTTAACTCATTTCTCCTAATCACTCTTACACTACCTGCATTGAGTAGATGTTTAATTGGTTAGTTGTTTAAGTTTAAAAAAACCTCACTGGTACCAGCTTTTCAAATGTGAATGTTTGTTGGTTTTCTTCTCGTCTGTGGCAGTGAACTGAAATTCTTTGGGATATTTGACAAAAATAAAAACAATGCAAGCTATGCTGTTATCATTTCCCAGAATGTCAGACAGTTACTTTAATGCAGACCTGATGTTCACTGTGGTGGATTACACCAATCTGCTCACTGTTTTTCATACCATATGAGATGAGTGGAAACCTGCTGATGGATGGAACCATCACAATAAAAAAAAGCATTTGAAATACAGCTCAGAACAAATGTGAGACGTAGTTAAGGAGCTAAACATTGATAAAGTGAAGAAGCTGCAGTTTCTTCACAGCGTCTCAGCTCTCAGTTTAAACACATAGAGACAGGAATAGATTGATTTTAGAAAATAACCAAATACCTATCTCAACAGGGGGTTGTAACATATGTGTTTTTTTCTGTTATGGTATTTAGCTCCAAATCCCTTTTTCCCTTCACTGCTTTTGACCATTTTCTTATTCGCCAGTTCTTCCAATATTGAAACCAGCTGTGAACACACACACAAAGGAACGCATATACAGTAGACTGAAGGCTACTGATACTACTGACTGCTGTCATTTTAACTCTCTGGAGTCCAGGTTGACTTTGACTTTCTGTGCATTAATTTTTTATCTTTGTTTAGCACCTTTTAAACTGTCCTCACCCGCTTGACATTCCTTTTTTCTTTTTTTTTTAAGTTTGTCCTCTCATTTTGTTAATATTAGTGTAAAGCTGCCAACAACCCCCCAAAAAACGACACGCGTCTATAAAGATGTACAAATGTTTAGTTGGTAATCACTCAAATTATCATTATGGTACAATTCAGGGTTGTAAAAAATATTGTTTCACTACTTACACACACAAATACAGCAGAAAAATGTAAGAAATAAAACTATAATAAAGTCTATTTACATTTTAAGTGATTTTATTGCGACTCATTCTTGTGCCTATATATGTCTTTAAATCACTGAAAATACCCCAAGCTAAAGGAATCTAAAGGCACTACAAAAGCAATAGAGATGAACATTTTAATTTGCGTTTCATGATATGTTTTGTTGTGTGTAAGATGGTGTGAATGTGCGGTCACGGCTCTATCATGTGTTCATTCCTTTGAGTCTATTTGTCCACACCAGAGGTCCTTCGATGGCCTGAAATGAAAGAGTTCAGTAGGCCAGTGTGAAAACATACACACTCATGCAGGGGTTGAATTAACCCAGCAGGGTGTTAGCAAATGAGCAGCTTTCATGCTGACTCCAGAAGCTGCTGCTGTCTCTCTTCATCTCCAGACCTCCTTTCTTCTCCTAATTGGGAAAATGACACTGGTTTATATGGCTGTTTGTTTCCAGATGAAGGGATCATAACCAGGAGGGCCAGGGATGTGGACTTTTGACCAGGTGTGTGTAAAGGAGGAGGAAGTGTTGCAGCCTTAGTATTTCCATAATCAATCTACAACAGGAGCGCGTAGGAGTGAGGGCGGGGTCTGTTAACCTCTTTTTATTTGACGGTTTATTTTCCCAGATGGTCTCCTGTTGCCTGTAACGTGCCACTGTAAAAGAGCCGCGGCTATGACAACAATATCAGCTCTGTGCACTGGAGAGAGGGAGAAATGGAAACTTCTAGAGTTCATACCCAAGATCAAATATTTCTCAGCGTTACTGTGGAGCAGGGGGTGGAAAACTGAGGGCCTTTGCAACAAAATGTACTGCTATCGGAGACCTCCATTGCTTCCTGCGAAGAAGACACAGTCGGGAAGAGTCAATAATTGATATTACCTCACCAACCCAGCAATACATAAATCCAGCTTCTATCTGTGTTCTGGCACATAGAGACTCAGAAGACTCTTTCTTTTTCAGGCCATCATTTTCAACGTGGTCTAGAACATATAACTTTGCACTGCCCTCATTATTGTATATATTTTCTCTTGGGCCCTTTTTGTATTTGTAATGTTCATGCTTCTTTTTTCTAATCCTTCTTTTTTCACACTATTCCCTTAGCACTACCGTAGGACACACTGCATGTTACACATTACTTGTGTATGTGACATATGAACCTTTGAATCCTTGAATGCTCTGTTGTAAACTGTCACTCACAGCAGAGCATCACATACACTAAGCTGTGTGAGTATAATTATGTAAAGTTAATCGTTTTTTACATCATAAAATCACTTATGAAGATTAATGGAAGGGACCTAATAACTGAAACATCCTGCTCCACTGTGAAAAGAAAGTCGGTATCACTTTTTATTATCACTTTATATTAGCAATAGTTGCATAGTAGGAATTAGAGAAGAAAACCATAATACTCAGCAACGTCCCTGTTAATATGATAAAATCTGGGCTTTACATTTATTCCTAAAACATGTGCAGAGAATTTTATTTTGGAGCTAAGAATTTGAAAATAGGCAAACACTTTAGACCACAGTGTAAATTACCCAGTACATATTTAATCAGGTCTAAACATCCTTTCACAATAGCTAGGTCATTAAAAGCTAATGTCTCGTTTCCCAGACATAATCTGAG